GTGCCCTACCTTTAAAAAAGTATTGATGGTTACCTTCCCATGAAAGAAGAAGCCACCTTACAGTACAGGCTGAGCCAATGTCATTTTGACTGACCGGTCTCAGGGTTTTCTGTATTTCCATTTTATAGGAGATGAATCTCAAACACATGTAAACACACAAAGAAGATGACTTTGGATGCACACAGTACCCAAGTAAATAACAATTCACAACCAATCCTCTTACATACACCATAAAATGCCAAAGTCACTTCCAATATTATTATGAAAAAAATCCCAAGACCCTGTTTTTTCCATATTGGTGTTTCACTATGCATTTCTAAAATAATGACTTAATAAAACGTTTATATTCTCATCACATTTTAAAATTAAATAAAGAAAGGAACTTACTTTCAGGTGTTTCATTAGTATTCACTTTTCCAACCACATTAAACATTGTTTTCCTTTTTTCCTAAAAATGTTTTCCCTTGCTAGGATCTATACATTAGGATCAGGTGAGCCAATCCTGCCTTCATCCCTAAGTTCCATTTCCTAATATTTTTTTCTTGCCATTTTCTTGAACTGAGTCATTCATTCTATTGAGTACCATTTCCAAAACTATAACAAAGGTATAGTCTCAGCTTCCCAATGAGTTATGAACAAAGACATGGGCCTACTGCACACAAATACACACATAGAACTCACAGGAAGCATTTAAGAGCACATGAATTCCTCTATACTCCATCCAACAAAAGAAGTCAAGTCCACTGACAACACAGTAGAAAATGATGACTTTAGTTCTTGAACACATCCCACTGCTTAACATTTTCAAGCACTTGCATTTGGTTCCCTTCAAATTCACTCTGTAGGTCACATCCTAAGCAGACTTGCTGCCATTCCCCATGGTCAGCACATGGATTAATTCTCTGTGCCATAACCTCATATGTTCCTCTCTTCTTAGTTTCTATAATGTGATAGATGGATCCAAAGTTTGACTGTGTTCAAATCCAACTGCGCTGGCAAGTCATGTCTTTATAGTCAGAGCCATGCCCCACCCCCATCAGCAGACACACCTCTGACAGACCCTCTCCTTTGTGTGTGGAGAGGGGTGCACCTGTGTATGCTGCTGTGCGTGGACTTGGAGGCCAGAGAATAACCCAGAACAGCATCTCTCAGGTACCAGTCACCTTGTTTGTTGAGACCATTTCCCATTGGCCTAGGGCTTATGAATTAAGCTAGGCTGGCTAACTAATGAGCCCCAGGGATCTGGCCTGTTCTGCCTCACCAGCACTAAGAATTTGAGTGCATGCTTCCACTTTTAGCATTTGTAAAAAGCTACTGTCACTGATATTGGGAAGTGACCTCAGGCTCTCATGCTGACACAACAAGTACTTTACAACCTGTGCTCCCTCCTGAGTCCCTGATTGATTCTCTTCTTATGATGGTGGTAATCACTGACGTTCAATCTTTGCATTCTTATGAGAATGTCATGACAAAGTGCCACTAGAAAATTTGGCAATCCAACTATTGCTCTCTGAGTGGTTCTTTAGGAAGCTCTCCTTTTATCAGGCACTGCTGTAGTCCTCTATGAACTCATTCTCTAACTTGGTCTGCGTTTTGTACAAGTTTTAGTTCTGCTATTCTAGGGCTCAGTACTTCTGCAAAGACTTAGGGATATCCAAAACTGTATACACATATGCCTTCTATTTTTTTATTTTTACTTAAAACAATATGGAATGATTGTGACATTTTAAAACAAATACTGAATTCATTGATTTGTATGCAACATGCAAACAGAGACAGCACACAGAATTCTTAAATGTACGTCAAGCTTGTTGATAACCTTTTCTGACTTCTATACCTTTATTCATTTTGTCTAGATAATGACAGGTGTGTGACTGAAATCACTTAACATCTTTGACCATGACCAAGTATTTGTCAAACTTGACCTTCAAGTCATCGGAGTTGCTTCATATATCAAGGTTATAACAGTGGCAGATGAAAGCGTGTAATTCACAAGGCTCCTTACCTATTTTAGCCTTCATCCACGCATATCTTTTTTTCTATAAATTCTTCTTCTAATACAGCTTCATCTGGCATCTTTGGGGAAGCATCTGCTGAATAAACCTTCCCATTCTTCACTCCACACTCTGTAGTTTTCTGGTTCTCTGAACATGCACCCTGATCATGCATTTTTGCACCTGCGAGGCTCACCCAATGTTGCTGTGGGATATTCACGCATTAGAACTCATACTAAACTGATGATCTGGGCTTTCGCTCTTCTCATCCTGACTTCTGTTGAACTAAGGTATTTTTCTACATTAGTCATTTTTCTGCATTTTTCTTTTCTCCCTCCATTGGTGCTAAAGGCATAGATTAAATTGAAATCTATACTTCTATAAAGTGTGGTCTACTCAGTGACTCTTTCTATCCTTTCTCTGGATCGGAGCTTTAGCAGATTTATGTTAATTACTCCATCAAAATTGATGCAGACGTTACTTTTATTTATCTTTTTCCAAAGAATGAAAAAGCTTTTTCAATAATTGCTAAATTAATATGCTATCATTGTTCATTCATTTCTATTATTATCAATATTTCACTCTCTACTTTTTTCCTCTTGAGACAGGACAACCCTATGCAACATACACTAGTCTCAAACTTAAAATCCTTCTGCCTCAGCCTCCCAAGTGCTGGGATTGTTGGCCCATGCACCATATCCAGCATCAGTTTATTTTATTCTATAATTCTAATAACTTGTACGTATAATGAATGCAAGCTTACTAAATATTAGGGAAATAAAACAATATATTGTTTTTAAGTACATATATACACATATTTTTAAAAATTTCAAATCTTATTCATGGATAAATAAAAATAAAAAAAAAAAAACATGTTCCTTGAGTTAAGAGTAGAGAAGATTGAGAACCAAAACTGCAATGGAAGACAGGAATTCAGAAGCGACCCCTCTCCAGGGCTCACCACTGCTGCATCAAACATGCGCTGAGTCGTAAACAGGTGTCGCTGACAAGCAGGACCACGGAAATCAGCAGAGCACTGCACTTAGAAGACCTGTCTTCCAGTTCTGCCACTGGCTGACTGTGCAATCCCAATTAGACCTTTCCAGACCTCAGATTTTTTGTGCGGAAGTGAGATGACCTGCCTCATAGGTTTTTTACTACGAGGAGTAAATGAAGCATTGAAAACTGAAGCACCTTGCAACCTGAAAAGAAGCCAGTTATATACACAGGAGCATAATTCACTAAACAATAAACCAGAAAGCAGTCACGACATTAGACTAGAGTAGCTACACATGGTGCCTGGAAAACTGGACTAGATTACAACAAATGTACACCAAAAAAAAGGGTTTATAAAGAAAACTATGTATTCTTCTCAATGCTAACTTCCTTTCATCACTCAATCCCCTCCCCCCATTAGAATGTCACTGTCAGTCTCCCAGCCTTCAACTATCTCTACCATAACACGCAGGCTTACACATTAATGTGTTCTTTAAGAAAGTAAGCCAGACTGAACACCTGTCCAATGTCATGCCATGGACAGCATGGCATCACAGGTGAATGGAAAGTGGCATTCTACCACTTGGTTGTATTCCAGACTCTGACTTGTCTCTTTCTGTTTCCTTTCAGTGCCCTAATGTTTCCATAACCTTTCTAAAATAACCACATCCCAAGTACTAGGAATGCCCTCTATGCTCCCCAGACCCAACACTGAAGCCTGTTTTGAGGAAGGTTAACCTGTGTCCCAGCTGTAAAGGATAACATTATTCTGAAGCAGATAGAGAAAGGGTAGTACCTTTCCGTTGTTTCCTGCTAATGTATTTGCTAGAATAATAAAATATTTATCTGTTAGTCTAAGGACTCTATGCTATTTGTTTTCACATTAAGAGCCCATCAAGCTGTGTTTGCAAGAAGGAGTTTTGTGACCATACTACTAATACCCCTTTCCAGTGAACAATGTGTGGAAGGGGTTGTTAGAGACACACAAGAAATGTGAACAATGTGTGGAAGGGGTTGTTAGAGACATACAAGAAATGTGAACAATGTGTGGAAGGGGTTGTTAGAGACATACAAGAAACACCTGTACTCATTACACTTTTGTCTGTTTCTTACAATAAAAGATGGAGAGTCTTTTAATATATTTGAAAGAGAGGTAATGATACAATTTTAATTATTTTTCTTTACTTTTACTTTGTTTAACCTAAGACAGTGTCTCACTATGAAGCGCAGAGTGGCCTTGAACCTGCAACCCAGCGCCTGCCTCTGCATCCCAAGTGCTGAATTACTACAAGTTTGAGCTACCATGCTTATTATGATTATTGTCTAGTAAGTAGGTTCAAGCTTTATAGGGCTTTCATACTTTGCAGAGAAAAATAAATATATACCCAGTACATTAGGACAGCATCAAACAGATGTATGAATTTGAAAACTTTTGCAGATGACCTGAATGTCAGACTTCTGACCAAGAAGACTCTACATCCAAACACACACATCTACACTAACAATGAAGACACACACCACTACCAGTGTCAGACAAGGAGAAGGAGCTGAGGGACATAGCATAGTTGATGGTGCAACAAGTGCACCTATAGACCCCCCTCAGCGCAGGAGAGCATCACTCTCCAGCAGCAGGAGACCAGCACTAAGTTCCACCAATACAAACGGACAGCCTGAGCACAGTTTCAGAGTTGCGCCTTCGCTAAGCTTGGATTAGGCTGGATGTGAACCACTAGCAGCTTATAAGTTGTAAACCAGTGTAAAGAAGGTCAGTACTGAGAGAAGGGGACCAGAAAAGACAAATAATAAAGAAAACGTTGTTTTGAAGTTTACGGTTTGCAGCGATGTGAGACAACACAGCAGACACACTGTGGCTTGGAAGGCCAGTGTACACAAAAGACATCACGAGTAACGGATGAGCGAATAACGGAAGTGAAGACCAAGGACAACTCTGCGAGTTTCACAGATCACCAGTCTTCAGTGACATCAACACAAACACATCTAAAGACTCACCTCGTGCTTGGAGAAGAGCCGGACACCCTCCAGCTGGTGGAAAACTGGGTAGTGCTGGGAGTCAATCTGGTCACGCCGGTACACGTCACCTACTACGAGGAAGGCATTAAGTCCTGCATGCAGCAAGTCCCACTGGTGTGCTGACGTGTGTGCTCTCAGCATGTGCACCCGGTTCAGGTAATAGTTGTCCCCCTTCTTCCTGCTGGGGTGGTCTGCTGGGATTAGCAGGCTATCAAAGTTCTGCCAGGTGGTGACCACTGGAGGCAGCTGGTCATAGACGGAGAACAGAGGGGTCCTGGGGCGGCCCATGTACTGCCGGTAGAAGTGCTCCTTTACCCGCTCCTTGAGCAGCCACAGAGGGTGGTACTTCTGGTTGTGCAGGTTCCTGCCCACCTTAGAAAGGACCTTCTGGGTAAGGTTGGTGTGGTCATCCTGAGGGTAGGATTTTCCCAGCAGCTCTATCACACTGCCTGGAGCACCTTGGGCAGGAAACTGGGATGTAGCTGGCCTAGAGCCCCAAGCCCGATGCTGATGGCATTTGAAGACATGACTGATCTTCCTTACTAGGTAGATGTGTTCATGAGCAGCTCGGATGAAGGTTGAACAGACCATTATAGAAGCTTCTCAGAAATTCTGGAAGGAGCACATAGGAAAAGCACAAGTTAAGTTTCATTCAGCAGACAACAACAAATGTGTCTTATATTATCTAAACAAGCTCGTTACCTTCCAAGTGACATATATGTGTCCCTCCTATCACATCCACACCACAGGAAGACAACTGAAAATATCTATTGACAGGCTGCTGTAATTTGAATGTCCTTCCCAGGAACCATGTTGAAATTTCACTGCTGTCTAATAGTATAAAAACGTGTGAAGCATGAGGGCTCTGCCTCTAGAACACAAGAGTGAGTTAACTGAGGTGGGAGTAGGTTTCTCATACACTGTTCTCTCTCTTTGCCATGAGATGATCAAAACAGAAAGGTGTGGCTTCATGCTTTGATCAATGACCCCAAACTCCAGAGCTATGAGAAACAAGTTTCCTTTTATTATAAATTACTCAGTCTGTGGTATGCTCTTATACCAAACAAATATAGGATTCTAGTATGGTGGTGAACACCTTTAATCTTGCAGTCAGGAGGCAAAAGCAGTTGGATTTTTGTAAGTTTAAGGGCCATCCTGGTCTAGCCATAGTAAGTTCCAGTCAAGACAAGTCTACACAGTACGACCCTGTCTCAAAATTTTAGTGAATTAATTTTAATGAATTAACTAAACAAAACAAACAAAACACACTAAGAGAAAGACTCTGTTTACTGCACTAAACCAGAAGAATACTGAAGGTGCTTTTAGGTCACTCATCTCTACGTGTCCTTCTCCTATCATTTAAACTCTTTGCTCTGTATTAAAAAAAAGCCTTCATCATGAACAACAACCAACTTTATTTTTTACCAAATTGTAACACCAAAGGAATCCTTAGATAGATCACCTGAAAGTTACTAGTCCACAGAGCTGGACTCATTCATTAAAGAGACTACATGCTCACACTAAGACCTCTGGTGGGCAATAAGAGAAAATTACAGTAAATACCCACACTTCTCCTTCTGCTCTCTACCCTCTTAACTACAAAGTCCTGTTTCCCTTTTACAGAGGGAGAAAGAGAGAGTACCTTCTGCCTCCTGGAATAATTTGCATAATCATAAAAGTCATTAACTATACCTTTGGAAAAACATTTGAATAGGATCTAGGGAGATAGCTCAATTGATAAAGTACCTGCCATGCATGTATGAGAGACAAAGCTTGGGTCTCCAATTCCCACATAAAAATGGTGGGCACATCAGCAAACATCTGTAAAACCATCATTCATTGGAAAGGGGTTCATGAGCCACTCAACCTAGCTGAACTGATAAGTTCCAAATTCACTGAAAGACCATGTCTTGAAAAATAAGGGGGAAGAGTGTGAGAGGCCTTGTCTCAAAAACAAGATGAAATATGTCTGAGAAAGACATCCAATGTTGATGTCGGGCTTCCACATGTACCCAAATGCACACATGCACACAACCGCATCAACACATACACACAAACATATACTCGTGTACACAGATTTTCTGATTAAAATTACTACTACTCTAGATAGTAAAGAATTTCATTCAGTGATTAAAAAATAAAAAATAAACTCAATACTAAGTCACAGACTAGCTAAGAGATAACAGAAATTATATTTGTGAATGCTAAGCCTTCTCTGGTCTTATTGGTCAAGATATTTAATCTAAAACCCTTTGCATCCTTCCATCAGAGATTATTCCTCCTAAAAGACAGTGTCTACTGTAATACATACATACAATAAACACTACCAGAAGAGAATTTACTGAAAAAAGGACACAAAGTTGACAGAAGACAGAGGACTGACCCCAGGACAGGAAAGGGAGAGGGGGGGGGAGGGAGGGAGAGAGGGAGAGGGAGAGAATATGCATAGAATTTAATAAGATTGTAGACTTTTCAAACTAAGAACTGCCACAGCAATCATGTGGGATAGATCATTGACTTCTCAGATAAAATGATAAATACCCAGGAATAGATGTCCAAATTCGGTGCCTGTTAGCCAAAAGATAGTGAGTGATCTTCTAACACTAATGATTCTTTACTTCAACAAAAGTAGTTGTGAACTCCCTCGGGGACTGATTAACAAGGGTAACATAACTAAAGATCAAAGTTGAAAATCAAGAACTAACTTAAGTTCTTAAACTTAAATAACTCAATTTTTTTTAATTTCAAACTTTCGTTTTGAGATAATTTAAAATACACAAGTCAGTTACTTTCTTCAAGACTCATGCGGTCCCACCAAGAATACAGAGCTCCATGGTCTACCAAAAGCCTACCTCACACATACCTGAGCAGTACAGTTGCCAGAGTCAAAATTGCAAGTGGGAATAACTTCCTGGAAACCTGCCCCTAGACCTATGATGGTAGAGAAGCTTCAGAGATTCCCAGGAACACTCTGATTTATGCACATGGCATTATTTTGTCAGGGTTGCTTCGAGTGTTTTGGGCTGAGTTTCAACTGTAATCTGTCTTCCCATCTACGTTGTTCAGTAACTCGTCCCTGCAGTAGATAAGAATTTCAAATTTTCACATGCAGCTTTATATATCCTAGCACAAAGTCACACTGTTAGGCTGCTAGTTACCCAGCTCAGCACTCTTGGCAAGCTATAAAAAAACATTTCTTTCTTCCACAGGCATATGCTGTTATACAAAGTTCAGAATTGGTCGAAAAGGGTACCGTTATATAGTTATTCCTGGGCTACACACTGCCACAAAAAAAAAGAAAAGAGGAGGAGGAAGAACTTAAAGCTTCAAGCTTACAGCCATGAATTACACCTTAATTTTAAAAGATGTTTTAGAATATTGGCCACATTAATGATACACAAAGGTTTTTTTACCACCACAAATCTAGCGAAGTGTTTAAACCAATAAAATGGTAAATAATGTAGTTTATTGAGGACTTATTAGTTAGACTTTACTTACTTTTTAATTATGTATAGACACGCATGCATGTGACCATGAATGCAGGCACCAAGGGCAGCCAGAATACAGTGTCAGATCCCCTGAAGTTGGAGTTGTAGGCAGTTGTGAACAACTCAATGTGTGTGCTAAGAATCGAACTTGGGTTCTCCACAACAGTACATGCCCTTTAGAGTTGAGCCTTCTCTCTAGCCCTAATGTGAACTTTATAATGGGTCCAACAATCCTCTCTCCACCTCCTTCATTCTTGTTAGAAAATCTAAGCACTTCATGAACTTACCAGAATAATGATTTCCCTTGCTGAAAAGGATCAATGGTGAGTAACCATAGCCCACACAAGGTCACCATTGGGCAAAAGTCATCAGATATATGTTATAACGACAGATATAATATATAGTCTATATGACAAAAAAAAATGTAAAATTTGACTACTTCAAAATACATGCATACATTTTTCTCTACTTGTTTCCATTTTCACTCAAAAAAGATCACATCAGGAAAGTATGTTTTGCATCCTGCTGACAAGGATGAATAACAAAATATCTCTAAGCAGGCAGTTTCCTCTATTACCTGAGAGAGAGTTATGGGCACAAGCTTTCTAGAAAGCAATTCAGCACTATCATGAAATTTAATACTGTTCACACCCTTTGGCACAGTAATGGAGGCTATCATAAGGAATATTAAAATGAAGGCAAGAGTTAAAAATAGAGTTTTATTTAATGATATTTATACTAGAAAAAAGTTCAAAACAGTATGAATATCCCCCCAAAAAAGAATAATTAAACAAACTATAGAAGAACCACACAATAAAATATCATGTAGTCATTAAATATAACAAACTTTAAAAAGAATCCTAAAGATGAAATAATTTAGTAGTGATAATTTAGGTCATATGTGTATAAAACCTTACCTATACAAATACATGTTTACTATGTACACAGTATTCTGCCTGCATGCCAGAACAGGACACACGATCTGCCATTGCTGGAAATTGAACTCAGGATCTCTGGAAGAAGAGCCTGTGTTCTTAACCTCTGAGCCATTTCTCCAGTCCCAAGTAGCCAGGTGGTAATAGCTTACACCTTTAATCCCAGTACTCAGAAGGTAGAGGCAGGTGGATCTCTGTCCGTTTGAGGCCAGCCTGGTTTATACAACAAGTTCTAGGACAACAGAGCTGTTACAATGAGAAACTCTGTCTCGAAAAAACAGGAAAAATAGTAATAATTACATGGTTACCTATAATTCTGCATGCTAGACATAGAAGCCATGAGATGAACTATGGGAAAAATTTAATAGCAGTTGCCACTGGCTCTTCATTCTATTTTATACTTCTATTAAACTTTTCTGAATAAATGTGTATTATATTTTAAAGTTTATTTTCAAAACATACAAGAAAACCTTTGAAAGTGTCCAGTTGTGTTCTAGACACTGCATGGCCTGCATTAAACAAGAGTTTTGGTGCAAATTCAGCCTTGGCAAGGTAACTGCATATGATGTTCACATACACCGTTACTTCTTATGAGAGTAAAAGAAGAACATTTGTGTGGAAAACATTATACCTGCCCAATTTTCTCTATTCAGTCATAAATTAGCTGTCATAAACACAACAGCAGTTACCCAGTGCAACTTCTTAAGAAGTAAATTTTAGGAAACTGGCCCAACTGTAAATACATTTCACAGTTATACTCATGAAAAGAAACCTTTAATATGGGTGAAACCTCAAATGCTATGTGGCCTCTTAAGGAAGAAAACAGTTCTTGCATGTAAGGAAAAGATTCATTAAAACTTGGATAAAACTAAGGCAGTCCTGTCAGCAAAGAGGTTCTTTATGCAGGGCTGCTGGGGCATGGTGAGGAAGTAGGCCATAGTCAGATTCTAACAGTTGTTTTTCCTTTTCTTTCTTTCTTTTTTGTTTGTTTGTTGTTACTGTTTTTCAAGACAGGGTTTCTATGTGTAACAGCTCTGGCTGTCTTGCAACTTGCTTTATAGACCAGGCTGGCCTTGAATTCACAGAGATCCAGCAGTTGTTAAGATTGCCTCATTGGGTGGAGCACCAGTAATAGCACAAGCAGCACAAAGAAGGCTGAGTTCTTTCAGAAAGCCTGGGAATAAGAGGA